CAGCAAGACGCAGTTTCGTGCGTACACCGAGCAAAGGTATGGCAGAGGTGTCATCGATGGTTTAATTATTTGAGATTGGAGCACTTTCTCTCTGCGGAATGTACCTACGGGCTATGCGAATTTCCACAAAGGATCGTGCGACCCCCAATAATTTCACATATTCTCGCGGAAAATTCGCGAGAATCTGGCCACTGCGCCGCAACTAATCTGCCAACAATCTTGCAAATGTCTGCAAGCAAACCGCAAGACACCAGCGCACTATTTTTCCGGTGCTCTTGACCAAATCTCATGGCCGGTTGCCCCTGACGATTATCTGAGTTTAGCATTTACAATTACAAGCGATTGATTTCGTTGTCCGTAAATGTGCACTGTTTCAAATGATATCAAGGCATTAGAATCACATTAGAGTAAGATTTACAACGCTAAAAGTATACACATAAAACTGGCACGGGAGGCATGAAATGACGGAAAGTACACATAAAACTGACTCGACGGGGCTTCCTCGTAGATATCTGAGGATAAGTGATCATAAATCTACGCAGAAAATAGAAATTACTTTCAATCTTACCTTTTTTCTCCTTTTTCAGCAGTAAGATACCTGAAAAGCAAAGATTAACGAAAGAAAACACTAGAAAACATCGCTCGGAAACTCGCAGCGGCAATTATCGACGTTTCACCGTTGTCGCGTCTGCAGGAACACTATATCAAGCAGGAAATCTACTCGACTATACAAGCGCATACAACTTCGCTTACCCTCCTTATCCGGCACAGTCAACTCACACGGGAAGGACACTTTGGTGACCATGGCCTTTCAAAAAGCGCTGATTCTAAATCTGCTTTCGATACCTGTTATGCGCTCTTCCGAAAAAAGTTCAGAACACTTCTCGGCACCAGAATTTGCACTGTTTTGACTATAGGATTTACCAAAATCGTTATAACGTTCACTTAAGCCCTACAGAAAGTCTTCCAAAACTTAGAGCTTCACCTTAAGCTCGGAAAAACTGTCTACGACAGATCAGAGTCTAGAAAGCCCAGCATGGATAATCCTGACCGAATAGATATCGTGAAAATAATATGGAAAAAAAGACTATAACTTTGTTCAGAGAGTCCCAAAGAGATAATGAACATAAATTATGAATCAGCGTTTCAAGACGCATCTATTGCAGTGCATCACAATGCAAAAACTCACGGTCACCAAGTATCCTTTCTTTCCTAAAAACGATGTTAGCTGCAACTTTTTCCAATGCATCCGGGCCTTCTTTCCTTTGGCCAATACGCTACACCATCCAAGTAGCCACTCGGAAGTTTTGGCAGCTGGAAAGCAGGAAAGGTTTTACTAGTAGTACGAAACTTATCTGAGCATAAAAAGTGATCATCCTAGATACAAGGCTGATCAATTGCAGTGTCGGATGCATCAGCATCTTCACTCCCGCGCGCTACTGTGCACCTCTTCCGCGAACATGCTCTATGATCAGTTCCAAACTATTGAGGCTCCGCCTTTCACCGCTGAGAGTGAGAATGTAATCAGAGAGTATGTTCGCGGAAGAGATGATGAATGGGAGTTTGAACTTTTCCTCCCGTTGAACTCCCTCAAAAGAAAGCGTTGACTTTTACGGTGCCCATTCCTCTTTGCAGAAAGCTCCCCAACGCATGCGAGAGCATCAAAATCCATTCCTACAATGTTTTTGTGGCTACTGTGCCCAATGTCCTCCCGTCCCAGTTCACAGAGTTTCCTTAGTGAACCCAGACTCTTCTTCATTGGATGCGAAAGCACCAAAATCAATGCCCGAGTCTTTACATGGTCAGTGTGCCCAAGCACCTTACCCTCTCCAGAATTCTCTCCCTGCCCTGTCGTGCCAGCTCTTTCTCGCTACTTTAGTTCCTCAAAGTTCCCATGTTGGAACCCTTCTCCGTGGGGTTTTCTAGTCAAAGTACCCGAATTTTCCTGCCACCGAAGTTCTGCAAATGAAAGCGCTGTATGCCCACTCCTTGTTCCTGTCCTAAGCTGCTGTAGCTGTATTTCAAGTAATTGTGTTTATTTGTGTGAAGATGGAACCACCAAATTTTACAGTCCTTATTGAGCAAATTTTGCTACAGCTTACCATGAAAAAAAAAATAGGCTGACTCATAATCGTCGAGAATCAGATTTAGGAATTTCGAAAAGTCGAAATTTGCAACCTTCATATCTGTCGTTTAGAGAACAGCCGCAGCGGCTTTGCAAGTTTTAAAGCGTAAGTGTTATTTTTTCAAAACTTAACACGTTGACGACCGTGTGCATATGCCTATATACACGCCATGGTTCCTGTTTAGCATTTTTGTGCATACGCACGTTTGCACGCAAGTTTGTTAGGTTAACGAAAATTTCTGAGGTAACTTCTTGCAGTATTACTACTGGTAGCCTGATTATCATAAGGACACAGCATCGCGGCAGCTGTTCAGATCTGTAAAACAAAAATTTGGGTACTCAGACCATTTTATAAGTGATGATATATGCTGATTATGTCTTTTCGAGGAGCTAAAACACTGTATAGTTGTTCCGAGAGTGCACAATTATAAATCACGCCAAATATAGCGCTTTTCTCGGAGGGAGATTCCCCACACATAGCCCTGCATGATTTGTTGGAGGGAAAGCAATGCAAAAATCTTGACAAGTGTAATTCCTGATAAAACTCTCTGATATACATGTATTTCTGGGTAAAGTTTGTGCTGGTGTTGAACAACGTCAAAAAAACTCTCGCATATACAATACTCTCGTGCATGCACGCGTACGCACGGGTCAAATGCGCGAGAAACGTTGGTGAGAATTTCGCCCAAAATGCTCGGTCGTCACCTTGTCAAATAGCTTACTGACAGCTGATATAAAGTCCTATAAAACTTCATTGTGGAAGCTAATGATGCTGCAACTTCATAGATTTGATAGAGTAATGTTTGCTCTATCAGATTGCGCATAATCCATGACGATCCGAGAAAAGCTAGCCGAGAACCAGGCACTTGAAAAATCAAGCAAAAAATTTGTTTTCCAAACTTTAACATCATCTTCAGCATTCCACAAAAGATGATACTTTCTTGCGCAGAATCTCTTTTCAAGAGCTTTCAAAAGTTGTGTTGATGTGTAGAGGGTCTACTGCTACTTCCGTTTGTAAGGAGAGGGGGAGAGTGGGACTTCTTTTTTTTATGAATCTCCTCTGCGGCCTAGCCAAACACTAAGTGGGCGGGACTGAGTATTTGCTATTAAAGTCTCCTTCGTCTCCTCCCACTTTCAAGTCTTACTCTACAAAACCTTTGAATCTGCAAATCTTTATGCTCAAGCTTTATAGGAGTTGAAATGTCAGCTGTCCTTAGCAACCTAAAATGGCAGTGTTTTGTAAATCTGCTTCTCGGCCGACTCTCAGACCCCTCCCTCCTGTCTGGCCCTCAACCCCACATCTCACGCTTGATATGCATATACCTCTCTGTGTGTATCTATCCCAATAACGAACGAATTTCTCGTCGTCTTTAACGAAAGTGTTATCTGGCGCCAGATAAAAGACACAGAGTTAGTCAAGGTATTTCATCAAGATAAGCAAACATGCAGTCGTAATCGAAAGAGATAAGAGATGCTGCCGACATGAATCGACAACAGTTTCATCGTCCCCACCTTTAAGGCTGCGCAAAAGGTGATTCAGCCACAACAACATCAAGGGAGCAATATAAATATTATCGTAGTCGTCAGTTTTACCCATGTCCTTGAATGTATTCTTACAAGGCTTACATACGTTAAGGATACAAGCGTCTAAGAGTGGTAGAGAGATGTGCAAGCGGACCATAACAGACTGGGATTGTGAGTATCAGTCACTATAGGACGATTATGAACGAGTTTGGTAATGATCGATGATAATTGCCTTAGTCTCTACACTTTTAGCTCTTTGCTGCAGTTCTTTTCTGCTTAAGTAACAGTGCGAAGAGTTGGTAAAATCAAAGAAATATCATAAGAAACGACTTGACATCTACGTTTGATTCCATACCACTGAAGAGTAGCGGTATCTTATATATAAAGCTGAATGTCTGTTTGTATGTCTGTCTGTCTGTCTGTCTGTCTGTATGTCTGTGTGTACGTATGTTCCGAATAGAAAATTCCATTTCAGAACCGATCCGGACCAAACTTGGCACACATACACTACGGGCCCCGGCGGGTGCCATAGGCTACTTTTCGTCATCGATCGATATCGATTTTATCGATTTCTTGCAAAATTTGAGCTAGGGGGCTGGGATTTGGCACAGGGGGGTGATCGATCATGTTGATTACGAATACAATATTAGTTTTCGAAACTGTGCATTACTTTTATCGATTTTATCGATTTTTTTGCAAAGTTTGAGGGCTGGGATTTGGCACAGGGGGGTAATCGAGCATGCTGATCATCCCGTGGGGGTGATCAGCATGCTCGATTGCACCTCTTTGCCAAATTCCAGCCCCCTAGCTCAAATTTTGCAAAAAATCGATAAAATCGACATCAATCGATAACGAAAAGTGGACTGTGACACCCGCCGGGCCCGAAGTGTATGTGTGCCAAGTTTGGTTCGGATCGGTTAAGAAATGGAATTTTCTATTCGGAACATACGGCGGAGCCGGGTGTGCCAGCTAGTGATTTTATAATCACTACTTTGATTGAATAGTCTCTGAAATTTTTGTAAACAGACAAGACGCAAAAAACCCTTCAATCATCCGTCAACTGTATTCGGCAGGGGTAGTACAAGAATTCGATAGGCTACGATATAAGGAAGTAGAATAATAAAGTTGAGTTGGAAGAAAAACAGCAGATTCGCTGATGCAAAGTTATAGATTTACATATGGCTTATTTTTCTGCAGGCTATCTTGGACAGTCTTCCTTCCCTGGGTTCCTACAGAAACACAAATTTAGAAAAATGTATTGTAATGCATTACTAGAAATGCGTCGAATCTCATGACTACAACATAACATAGCAATGCATCAGAGACAAATCTACGATTGGCTTTTACCAACACGTTCAAAATCGATTTTTGAAATTCTTGGCAGGACTCTGTTCTCCGGACAATACAGAGAGGCGTTATGGTGACCCATTCTCAATGAACAAAGTAATTCACTTTGACAAAGTCCATCACATTCGGGATCCTTCACTCTGAAGGCGTTCCTGAAATTTATTGGATTTTTACTATGCCAATTTAAGATTCCAAATACGAACCTGACAAATCTCTTCGTCACATTTTTGTGTGTATAGATGGATTTGATCAATTTATTCCAGCTTGCAGGTGATAAATCTGGTAAGTTGTACTCAGCCTGCAAAAAACACTTGACATTGATCGAGAAACTATTGCAAAAAAATTTGCCAAAACCTTCGCTGAATACATCATTTTCCAGTTTGGTGGATGCGTTTCGTTAGCTTTCGAAACGTCGGCATAATAATTCTTGATGTCCGCAACTTTCTAAATGATGGAATTTGTGGAAAGTAGAATTTGCCGGGTATAAAATCATTCACGAAGTCTTTTTTCGACGCATAATGAAGGTTTTCTAGGAATTTTGTATGAAACAAAACCAATGTGAAAAAACTGAGGGTTGTAATCTTGCGCAGGATCAGGTATCTCAAAAACCTTTTTCGGTGAAGTTAATGCTACAGAAATCCTAAAAATTATTTTACAATTTTTTGCTCCCTCCCTTCCCTGGGGCTTCTACTAACCATTTGTTCATTTTCATTCATTAATTTATCAGATTTTGCTAAAAACAACTAAAGTTATGAACTAACGAAATGATCTGAGCTAAATTACATTTTCTATCCACTGTACATTCCCCATTTCTATTCAGTTGATTTGTACTTTATAGTTAACATCAAGATCTTGATTTTCCTGCTAACAAAAAAAGTGAATTTTCATATTGTTCATGAAACTATAGTAACCAAACTGGCATCAACAACTTTATTTTTTTCTCTGAGTAAAACCTGTTTGCGCTCACGATCGACGTTGGTGGTCAATGAACATATAATCTATGAGTTCATTATCAGTTCTTTATCAAACAGTAAAGATGACTTTTCCCGCTTAACCATTATTTATGGCTTGTCACTTTTTTGCAAATAGCATGGAATATTTTTTGTTTGGTCTGGTAAGCAGAACCCACCATCTCAGAACTTCATGAAATCTGTAAAAGCACTCCTCCATGCAGTTCTTATAAATACCTAAGTTCTAAAACTTTGTTCTTCAAAAGCTTTCAGTTTTCAAAGTCAGTATACTGGATCTTAAGATTTTTACCTTTATTTCTTTGCCCTAAATCCAAGAACAATCATCAGATTTATTATTAGAAAATGTGCATGACGATTGCAAGGTTTTCTGCTACAGAATATTTGTTCGAGTTCTTTGAAAGCTAGTTAACTTAGAAATTTCATTGAAAACTGGGTGGTCGGGGAGACCATTTTGTGCAGTGTAAATATTGTAAGCAAAAAGTATTGCAAAGCTTTTGCACTATTAAGCGTATAGCCAGTACATTTAATGCTATGAAAACGAAGGATTTTTTTCAATTCCCAGTGAAGAAAATTTGTAGAACCTCGAAAAAGGCAATTTTTCGAACCCACAGAGATGCTAAAAAAAAGTAAGAACCTTCGAAATTTTCGCAGTATTCCCTCTGAAAAAAAATTCAAAAAAAAAAGAGTTTAACACGATTAATCATTGGCTATACATCGAGCAGCGTGTGTGCTAATCTACAATAAATCAAAGTTTATGGCCCTCAAGCTGGAGGTTTCTGAAGAAGTTTTTCTGACAATCTTTAGTACACAGGGTTTGCCCTTTACGGTAGTTTTTTTACTGCGCTCAGAAAGAGTTTCTTAATCCAGAATCGAATTATAGAAGACTTGCACTGATCATGAATCAACCTTATACACAAATCTCAAAAATTTGCATAACTACGGCTGATAAATCTGAGCATGCGTTTTCTGACAAAAGCAAGAAAGCTGTGCGGTTTTCATCAATCCAAATTGTCTTCAAATCTGATAAAAGGCCAGTCGACTATGAAAATTACCGTCACACGTTTCAAACTTTAGTAGTTTCGAAAATCTCAAAAATTTGAACTTTTATGTCCCACCCCCTTTCTTCCCTTGCTGCTAAGAATTCCTGCAACTCTTATGGCATCGATGGTACAAAAAATACAAATCACTTACAAATCTATCAGTGTAATCCACTTCATAGATACGGTACGCTGGATTCAGATTTGCAAAGGTAGTGGCACTTGGCGTCGCGTACAGTACCTAAACAACATTGTATCCGGATTACTGTAACTGCGCCCGCCAAGTTCAAATCTTTACTGTTCTTGCAAACCGGTCGATGACTGGAAATGAGATAAAGCATCTACTAACCCCGATAGGAGTAGATGAAGTATCGTGCATGTCTTCATAGAAAACTGTAAAGTAGTCGGTGTGAACGTGGCCGAAAAATTGTCCCGTGATAGTGTTTGCAAATCTGGAAAACAGCAATGGCACGAAAGATTTGGAGAAGTGAAATACCTTTGAACAATTCTATAGTAGTTGCGGGACCAGCCTTCCAAGCATTCTCCATCGCCAGGGGGAATATGCGAAAGCACATGTACAGAATCGCCGGCTATTTCTGCCTGCAATTTACATATTCAACCATGAAAGATGAAGAAAAGATGCAAGAAGAAACAACAGGTGGGAGAAAGCCACCAGCCAGCCTGTTCTTGTCAAAAACGTTTACGGTTAAGCAGCCTTTCCCATCTTCTAAGCAGAATAAAAAATTCATTTCCACTGCTATAACTGGCGAACGCAAGAATGGTCAGGACGGGAAGGGGAGGGGGAGGACACTCTTATACCTAATGGACCCAAATGAGTTACGAATTTGGTGGCTTATTTTCACTTTGAAATAAATAAAGTAATTGTAGAGCTTTTTAGAGATCCATTTTAGTTTGATAAAAGAATTTTGGGGGTGGGGGGGGGGGGGAAAGGGGGCTGCCAAGCCTCACTTCCTCGAAAATTTAGGGATCCAAACTCGTCAAAAATTTGGGAGATCCTCTAACTTAGATTTGTCGCCTTTATTTCTCTGAATTTCGAGTCATAAAAATTATTGTTTCGGTGCAGAAAATTACCAAGAAGGAGACTGCAATGTTGAGGGAAAACTAGCAACTCTTTTATTGCGTCTACGAAAAATGTTGCGGCTCCTAGGGGCTCAGCGCCTTTCTCCGCTCGCCATATACGGCCCGATCCAGCGTTCCTAGGATGTTGTAAACGACCATGCAAACTGGGCTCTTGTCTGCGCGACCGTGTCGCAACTACCCCTACCCGCATACTCAATATGACGCGACTAGAACGCAAGAGATCCTACACAAATAGTACATCACATAAGTTTATCTAAAATAACACAAAGAAAACTAAAGCTAAACATAATACTAAAACTACAAAAAAAAGTACTAAACTACAACGCGGGGCGAGCCGCGATTCCCCGCGCCACCGATGGGCCTCTAACTCACTTACACTCTCGCACTAGAACACTCTCACACTCTCCCAGCTTCCAAGGGAGTACCCACAGGCCGGCCGCGCGCCGCCAAGGCAGCAGCTACGGCACGGCAACACCGACCCCGATGTTAACCAACAGCATCAAACCAAGCTCCCAACAAGTCCTGCGCGTCCAAAGCGCTCTATGATGTTCGTCGTCCTAGAATTCTATCCTTGCGCGTCCATCCAGGCAATTCATCGACGATCCATACTATCGCGCAAGGCACGGGGACGTAGACACGACGGCGATATCGTGGAAACCCAACCAATCAATAATACGAGCGGCACGACGATAGTAGTAAGACGAAAGAGAAAGAAGAGCCGCAATGGCGGGCGTGCGCGCTATTTATAGCGGTGGCTGGGGGCGTGCCTACGTGGTGTGGTCTCGGAGCGAACAAGGTAGCCGCCGTAAAGCGCGGCGACCGTGCTCACGACCGAGACGCGCGGCAACACGGTGCTCCCGGCCACATGCTGCGAGGAGCGGTCGATCGCGAGCCGCGACACTCCCCCCGCAACGAAAGGCATTGGGCGTTCGAATAGGTGGTTACGTGATAGCACCGTGACCTGGGGCAACTGCCTTAGCCTAAAAATTTGGGCGATGATAGAAAAAAAAGAAATATGTGACTTCGGTAGCGAGGGACTATCAACAACCCGCTCCGTGGTAAATAAATAAACAAACAAACAAACTACAGGCGCTATGGTGCGCAGTTGACTACTAGAATAAACCGTGGCGCTCGAAGCGCTTACCAAATAAATATAAGCAATGGCTAAAAAAACACTTCTACAGCTGCTAGACTATTTACACTGTTTCAGGATAGGCATTCCAACCCATAGCGTCACCATCATTCCATCTCGCCATCCAACTCGACCAGCGCTGATCTTGCTGCGCATCCAATCCGCATTACGTCTCTCGTACCACCGGCGTCTGACCACTCTAAATACGTTCATACTTTCAACATCGAGAGAGCGTAGTGCCCGAAACGAAACTTACCGTCCTGCGAACCTACGTGACGCGCGTCCTGGAACGCACACCCTGGAACATAAGAAACCCCCACCGTCTCTTAACTTTGACTTAATTTACATAGAAAAGAACACAAAACAAAACATGAACAGAGAGGGTGTGGGCTTCTAGACTCAAAAAAAAATACTACGTCTTTCCCGGAACATTCCCGAATTTGCGCGTCTAGCACCCATCCGAACCGAATTGGACGAAGGTCCAGCCCCCCGCCGAGGACAAAATGGCTCGACGAGGGGATCGACCCCGCAACTCAAGGACTCGGGGGTGCAGCACTGTGGGTCGGTTCAAGGAAAGACGGCCCAACCTATAGAGCAGATGTTACAGGAGCCTGGTGGACTGCTCGCAATGGCTCTATGGTCGGGACTTAAACAAATGAGACGGCGCGTCCGGTAACGGCTACGACTTCCTAAAGTAGACTATACCGCTAGGCTGCTTAACCGAGTAGCAACGGTAAACAAGTTAAAATAATGAGCGGAAAATTTAAATGATGTTAACGCGCTACTACAATAGGAAGTATAACTGGTAAGGAGCTGGTAGTTTACTACGATGTTACACAGGGCTTTCTATGGTAAATCTTGGCGCGATCCACAAGTGCGGCAAATGGTATTAATTCTGGGTTAACTGGCGCGAAGATCTTACACGGTGAGTAGGCAAGATGTGAAAATATAATTTTAGGGGCGCGACAGCTACAATAATGTCAAAAATTAAAAAAGAGGTTGACTGACGCGCAAGTGCAAAACGTTTAAATTTAAAAAATATAAGCTACAAAAAAGGGGATTCAAAACAAAATTTAAGAGTGATGTTGCCTACTAGTACCGTTCGGGTCCACACTAGCATCAGACTGCGCGTCCGCCGGCGTATCTTGTAGAGTTACCACAGGTGGTTGTCCACGAAGCTCCCTCAACTCCTGTCAAAAGCCGTCTTCAGACTCGCTCGTCGAAGTTCCTACTCCCGGCTCGCCATTGACCTCTTCGTCCTCAAAATAGATCATCGTCATGAGGTGTTCCGGGCTGATTAGCGGCGTGTCCGAGCTGCGCAGTGAACTCCCCTCTGGAAGTTCCGACGCGAATCCACTGGCATGGGCATGGTTAATATTCAGCGCGACAATTAGAATGATGTTACATACTTAGCCCGCCTATTTAGCGCGTTATGTTATGTATATACCGCACGATGTTAAAGGAAGCGGGTTTTCTATGCGCAAACTGAATATAACCATGACCAAATGATGGCTGCATGCTAAACTGCCAACGAAGACTCTATAGCGGGTGCGGGAGTAGGTGCTACCCACAGGACTATCTGATCGTCAAGATCAACGCGCTGCGTACTAAATGTGTCGAAGTAGATGGTATTGACACGAAGAATACTAAGCGGGCGCAGGGCAAATCCATGTAAGTCAAATCCAGGTAAAGCGCAAAAACCGGCAGAGCAACAACTAAAGTCGTGCGTACGTCAAGCGCTGGTGTCGATAGCTGCGGGTCAATGACATAAGCGTCCGGTGACTAAGGTGGTATAAACGTGTCTACGGATCGCGCGTCAGGTAAATCTAAATCCAGAAAATAATTGCACTCCAGGGACATGCTTGCCAATAACAGTAATGGTCGCAGTTACACTAGCTGGCCAGGCAAGTTAAACCTACGAACAAGATGGTAGCGACTGCAAATAAGCAAGACACGTTAACCCTAAGCGCACAGTTAAGCCAAGCTACTGGGCACAAAATATCTGTGAAGCACAGCTGGCGCGTTGAGCGCAATATTTCGTCGACGACGATACAATGCAAAAATAAGACGATGCCAACGTGGATGCTAGATAAGTGCTTCACTTGCCAAGGATGTAATCAAGTAAACTTGGCATGATGACAAAGTGCAGATGGAACGCACGACAGAAGCAGAAGCGCGGTCCTATAAGGAATACTCACGCGCCTAGAAGAGCCTGTAGATGGAATAGGCGATGGGGAAACAATCAATGCTGCGCCAACAGAAAACAATACACTGCCAAAGGCGCGGTTATAGGATGTAACATAACATTACCGAAATTGACGCGCAGTACAAGGAATATCCAAAAATACGCGGATCGTACTGACGCGCATACAATGTACTGGACGCGTGTAAAATGAAAAAACTGGATTCAAGTCAAAATCGCGTGAATAATAGTCTTGCAGGTAGCAGGGCCAAACAAGGATTGCAACTACGCAGAGCGATTGCAGGAGCAACGGCGCGAATGCAAGATGGACACGAAATGTAACGCGCGCGCTAAACGTTACTGTAGTGAGCAAGATGACAGTAAATGGGCTCACGGCTCGCGAAAGTTGCAAGAAGGCAAAAAAAATACTGACTTTGGCTGGTATACCGACTGCACGCAGTAGACGACAGTAACTACAGAGATGGAACAAGTTTGCTATACATCAAAAGGTAAAATGCTTAGCAAGAAATACAAGATCTACTGCCCTAACCGACGCTCTAAGGCCAAAAGAGACAAGGTTTGCGCGAATGAACAGTTGGGTCGCGCGTTCACCAAAAAAAACAAGAGAGGCTAAGGTTGCTTACTGCTCGCGAGACAATAAACAAAACCTAGGGAATAAGGGGACAAGCGCAAAGGATCCGATGGTCGATCTGCACAAGAAGGTGGGGTACACGCCGCCTAAAGTGCGCGCTCAACAACAATCATTTCAAGACCCAACTGAAGAACAAGTGGGGAGATATGCGACCAAATTTACGGAAATAAAGGCATTCCGCCGCAAAAACACAACACTCTCTGGCCTGATAGAAAAAACAGAGCATAAAGCTCGACAACGGCCTGCAGTCCGGCAAAGTCAGAAACAAAAAAAAGGGAAGGAAAACAGACGATCCATACCTGGGTGGAATACGGTAAAGAATCCTGCCTGTTTCCAATGGCTCTCTCACTCTATCCATCGATCCATCGCATAACCAACGATATCGAAGATGGTCCATGCCTGAACGAAGCGCGGCGCGCTAGGAGAACACTCACACCCATCGGTAACCTAAGAAAGTACATATAATTACAAATAGAAAAATCACAAAACACACCCACAACTAAATATGAAATGAGTAACTACAAAGTAAACAATAACAAACTTACCATTATCACAGTCAGTGGGGTAGCAACGACGTTGGAAAAGCATGGGCGTGAGGTAAAACAGGTACAGCAGGGAGCCAGCATGATGTTGACGTAGACTATACCGAAGAGGTGACCTGTCCGGAACCCATCGGAAACTATGCAGGGCTCCTATCGGCGCGTAGGAGAGGCAGAGGGGAATAAGGGGAAAGAGGGAAAAGGGGGAAAAGGGAGGCTGCCCGTGGGCCCCTGGACCACCTCAACTAGCCGTGCCTTCACTGCCGCGTTAACGTCCTAACGGTACGAAAGAAATGGTTTCCCGCGACAGTAACTCTCTGTGCACGACTACACTCCACCCGTACGAGGCATGTACCTTCGCACTCCCTCCGGTGACGACCAATCCTGCGCTATCACCCACATGCGCTGTCACCGGTGTGATCCAGGTTCCAAAAGGACGGTGCCATAGCCGTGCCGCCACTGTCGCTCCCGAAGGAGCCCGCACTCGACTTCGGGCCCGCTCGACAATTTGCGCGCGCCTACCCTGTGGGAAGGGTTCCTCGGTCGAGCCGCCGAGGGGATGACACCGGCCCGTCCCTGAATAGCTCTTCAGAAGCACGAACAGATCCCGATCATCGTATGAAGTGAACGCTGACGTCTGGGATTTCCAGTTGGTCAGAGCTGCCACCATCTTACCAACTATCCACCCCGCGCTCGAGCATCACACTCACGGTTACCGCTTCTGTAGTCCTGCTGCTGGCTGCATAGGTGTTCACTCCTGCCTTGCCGTTCACCTCGATATTCCTATCGGGCGCTGAGCGTGGTACTTCGGGTTCGTTACGCACGCATGGCTGATGGGAAAGCGCGTTCCATGACTCGTTCCAAGATGTTGTCCATAAATCGTCGATCCTCGCGTCCATTCCGATCCATTCGCGGGCGGATACCTCCATCAACCATACGCTCGGCACGATGCACCATGTTGCGGCTCCTAGGGGCTCAGCGCCTTTCTCCGCTCGCCATATACGGCCCGATCCAGCGTTCCTAGGATGTTGTAAACGACCATGCAAACTGGGCTCTTGTCTGCGCGACCGTGTCGCAACTACCCCTACCCGCATACTCAATATGACGCGACTAGAACGCAAGAGATCCTACACAAATAGTACATCACATAAGTTTATCTAAAATAACACAAAGAAAACTAAAGCTAAACATAATACTAAAACTACAAAAAAAAGTACTAAACTACAACGCGGGGCGAGCCGCGATTCCCCGCGCCACCGATGGGCCTCTAACTCACTTACACTCTCGCACTAGAACACTCTCACACTCTCCCAGCTTCCAAGGGAGTACCCACAGGCCGGCCGCGCGCCGCCAAGGCAGCAGCTACGGCACGGCAACACCGACCCCGATGTTAACCAACAGCATCAAACCAAGCTCCCAACAAGTCCTGCGCGTCCAAAGCGCTCTATGATGTTCGTCGTCCTAGAATTCTATCCTTGCGCGTCCATCCAGGCAATTCATCGACGACCCATACTATCGCGCAAGGCACGGGGACGTAGACACGACGGCGATATCGTGGAAACCCAACCAATCAATAATACGAGCGGCACGACGATAGTAGTAAGACGAAAGAGAAAGAAGAGCCGCAATGGCGGGCGTGCGCGCTATTTATAGCGGTGGCTGGGGGCGTGCCTACGTGGTGTGGTCTCGGAGCGAACAAGGTAGCCGCCGTAAAGCGCGGCGACCGTGCTCACGACCGAGACGCGCGGCAACACGGTGCTCCCGGCCACATGCTGCGAGGAGCGGTCGATCGCGAGCCGCGACAAAAAATGTTTGTTCTTCAGGGAACGGGCACAAGTTGCTCCGTAGCACCCATTTTTGAATCAAAACTAATAAGTCACCTTGAACAGCTCAGCTACAAACCATGTCATCGTTCCGTCAGGATCACTTTGGTTCAAGTACAAAAAGCTGAAACACAGATTCGTTTGACATTTGCAGTGTTAGTGGATATTATGTACTTACAAATTTGTCGTCTCACAAAATCCCGAATTGAGAGAGATTAAACGCAATCCTTCAGTCACTTGTACGGCATAAGATCCACGACTGAAATGTTCGGCCGTAATGTGGCACAGGAAATGGATAAGATTCAGACCAGAAATTCACTAGAGCACCGCTTTTGACGCATCCGATGTGAGCCAAGGAGAGCTCATCTTCTCAAATTCTTCGTAGAGCCATATCGGCCAGAAGCGTTCGTCGACGAAATGTGGGGCAAAGCTGGAAATATAAAATGCAAATGAGGTTGACTTCAGGTTGCTAATGAAATTTATCAACGATTGTGTCTACTCTCTTTGAAAATGAAATTTCCAGAATAGCCTATGGGCACACCCACAAGACTATCCACCCCTCCCCCATCGCGGCTATTCCCGCCCACTTTGTGGCAAACCCCGCCCACATAGACTCCTGTGAGACCAGAACCTGAAGTGATGTTTCTTCTAGCGAAGTAGCTTTTTTGACAAGACAATCTTTTTACACATTCTCCAATTACCTCGCAAGAAATTAGCAAGAATGTGATAAATACAGGCAATTCAAACTGGGTAAGGACTAACCTATTGACCGGCACTCCCTCATGATTTCCAATGGCCCAGTAAGTAGGGGTCACAGGAAAGTAATGACGAATCAATGAACTCAAATTCTTTAGCGCTGCGACGTGAGTTTCCACACTATATGACCAATCGAAGTGATTTATGAAATCTCCAGACATCATTATGTAGTCGATCTGCAAACAATTTATTCTTAAAATGCCTAAATCTAGAAGCATATGTTTCGTTATTATTAAAGTTATACTTCATCTCCCAACAACGATTTATTCCAGCAGATAATACTATTTCAGGGTTGCAGATTATGTGAAGAGTATAGTATCTTGTCTTGTTTCGGTTGAGAGCAAGAATATTCTATTTATTTTTTTTTCCTTCAAACCGGAAATTTTTCAATATTTGGCATGCTATATGCTCAGTTTTGAACTGCCGAACTCTTTTTACAAGAACAGATCTGCAAGAGAAGTTTTACAGTGGCGAAGAAATCTCACCATAATTTTTTCTACTGGACTTGCGTTCTGCAAAAGTGTTCTCGCACTTTTTGAACGATTTCTTACCCGACTGTACTTTTTTAAAGTTCTTTAGAATGTACTTTTCGGAAGATACCATTATATTAGGTCTTAGTTTGAAGAGCTGATAACACAGCGACTGTCATGAGCTCTAGAAGAGCTAAAAAAGTACATAGCTATGAGAAGACAATCTACCATACTAAGAAAACTAGCAAGAAAATGTTTGTAATTCGGCTACACACTTAAATTTTTAAAACACTTTTTGCTGCGTGCTCCCAGTTCAGGGGAACTCCATAAGCAGCAAAACTCTAGAAAATGCAAAATTATCATAAATTTAGGTTTTACCGTTTGTGCTAAGCAATGCTGAATTATGGTATCGAAGAGATGTCTTGGAGCATACTTATTCAACATTCTGTCATTAGGGCCGGGCATACTTCACGCGATGTCTTTTGCGACGCGACTTGGCAATATGCCAACTGTCTATAACTTGCTGCAAACGCATTTCAATTGCACAGAAGTTAGGTCATTTTATTATGAGTTATATAAACTATGCGTGTGCAGTGCTAGTGTTGCATCTGGAGACTTCTGGCGAATTGCCAAATCGCATCGCGACTGAATTCGCGTGAAGTATGTTCGGCAGTATAGCAAACTATGATTTGGCAAACTGCAGCCCAGAAATTCAAGATGCTGTTTGCATACAATTGGTAAAACTTTCGCTTTTTTGCAATCGCTTATTCGAGGACGTCGCATGAGATTCCTTGTTTGAACCTATACATGTTGGTCCAAAAAAGGAAATGTTTATTTACCAATCAATCAGAAAAAAACGATGGAGAGGCATTTCACGTTTACATCCTGCGAGATGCGTATCTGGAGGTATTCTCCTGCTCAATTACAAAACATGCGAAATGTCTGGAATATGCTGTAATAGCTAACCTCATGCGTAGCATTGATATGCTGCAGCATATTTTCAAATGTTCGGTAGGGTATATCGCATTTCCCAACAATTCCCCAATAGCCAGCTGCTTTGCTAGGATCTGCAAATGCGATATGGTAAATTATGTACTGATGTTAGCGATTTTTTGGGTAATGATAGCCAAGAAAAGCAATTTTTGAAAAATTATTAGGTCGGTAACGTACGAGTTTCCTGTCTGCAACAGACCGGTAGATCACAATCTGCCTCCGAACCAGGCACATACTCAAAATCAACATGTAAATCAGAAAGCTGCAGAACTCGAAGATGTCGACTAGAGCCATTTTTCACCGTATCTGCAAGGAAAACTCTCCCTTCGAATTATTTCTGCAGGGAAATTTCATACGCTTTGGCCTCCGTTCTTCAATCAGCTCCAACAATTCAGGGCTAGGTTTCGGTGGCAACTCAACTTCCCATCCTGCCTCTGTGATATCATCGGGATCGGCGCATTCATTTAGCAAAAGACCACAAATTCTGGATGGGCTTTCATCGGACATACGTCGGAATACGTAGAAAAATTCATCCTAAAGACGACTTAATTTTTGTTACTACTAAAATCTCAAAGGACCGGGCAACCTTCACGCAGTTTCAGTCGCGGCGCGATTTGGCAATTTACCAAAAGTCTTCAGAACCAACATTACCAAATTGCATATGCATAATGTGTATAACTTACGCGGATTGATAAAACGCCTTAACTTCTGTACATTTAAAATTTGCCTACAATAAATTATGGAAAATTGGAATATTGCCAAATCGCGTCGCGACTGAAATCGCGTGAAGTATGCCCGGCCTGTAAGCAGCATACTTTAAACTGTCCGGAAATCCCATTGCACACCACCCAACTCTGTTTCGCTGCCAATTTGCAAATGATAGTTGCAAATTCGAGAATGACCGGCTCGGATTTGTCCCATTTGACAATGAGACTGAAATCAGTAACCATAAATTATCGGTGGAATCTGAGTAAATCTTTATCGGTAGATAAAAACTGGTAATCCAACGGTAGATATCGGTAGAATCTTGAAAAATAAAATTTTCTTAGCAGTAACGTTAATTTTGTGTGTGGAAGGTCCGAGGTTCGTGTCTGGTCAAATTTTATATTACTATGGTTTCACTATAACTACTGCAAAAAATTACAAATTTACATGCGGCGTGTATACCTACATCTTCATAGAAAAGATGATCTTAACGTAGAAATTCAAGCAAACTTGAGCAGAGCGGGGGCTGATAGAGCTAACAGTTAGCATTTTACTCATTGCCATTGAATCTCAGGATTTTGAAACATGTTGCTCTAATAAAAAACAAGCTTTTTGCTAATTTTCTAAACATGGGCAAAGCAATTCAATATATAAGTCTGCAGTGCGTCTCCGACTATCAAGTAAAAAGGATTTTTGGAAACGATCGTATGAAGTCAGTATATTAGGTTGTCCTCAAAATTACTTCATATATATATATATATATATATATATATATATATATATATATATATATACAGGGTGTCCCAAAAAATGTATCGAACGTTTGATCGTTAATATCTCTCTTCCCAAATAGTCTTTTGCCCTGCTTCAGGTACCATTTTGTAGAGCTGGCTTCAACTTAGATTTATATTATAGAACGAATCACCCATCTCTCTTCATTACTGTAGAATTACGGTAGAAACTTGAAACATATGGTGCCAATGTGGAAAAGCTGCCGTTCCAAAATTTTTCAAAAAATTCTGAAAACTCATGTTATAGGGTATTTTATGGAGGCTGAGTTCAATACTCAACTATTCACAAGATTACGAAGCTTTCTAAACGGTGTAACCGCACTTTTTAGGAACACTGAAAAAATGAGTACTCTGCGTTGATACCACTGCTT